CTGATGTGCTGAGAAAGATTTGATGAGGTCCTGTAGTCACATCAATAACAAAGTCATCAAAGCTGTGATCATCAGAAGCATCATGCAAGAGCTTGCTGGTGACAGTGGAGAGCTGCAAGGGCAGGTTATGAAATATAATATTTCATAAAGGTTGCTGGTTCTTAGTTCTGAATCTTAGTGGGTTTTTTAAAAAGTTGATTTTGGGAAGCGTGTATATGTGGATACAGATTTTCCAAGAGTTAGATTCACCCTCATTGTCAGCCGAAACCCTGAGGGTTGTTGTCATTATTTAATTCAATCAACATTTCTATTTTAATTCATCAACATGACAGCCACTTTCCACCAGAGCCATTTGTTAGACATCTGGGTTGACCAACTGTTCCGATTTGCCCCAAGACTCCCTTAGTTTCAGCACTGAAGGTCCATGTGCAGGGAACACCTCAGTTTTGAATAAATAAAGATAGCTTGTTACTCTACTGCTAGTCTTAGGTTTGGCCTTCAGATCTGCATTGCTGAAATGTCTAGAAGTGGATAGAAAGGGGGCTTGCTACAAAAAATAGGCGAAAAGTTTTAAATCTTCATAGAAAATTGGCTACATTCTATTCCAGAGATGGTTTTCAAAAATTAATCCAGTGATCCATTTCATTCACTAGGTTAGAAATGCTTTCTTACTTTGTGGGCCTGCCTAATGTATGGAGGAAATTAAGCCATACCTAGGAATTAGCTATAGTAAATACCACTACAGTGAGGTTCTGAAATATTGTGTTATTTTTTCCTTCAATTTTCACATTTAAAGCCTAATAAATAAAGTATAATATGACAGGCAGACATAACAGCATAAAATAAAAACCTGACATTTCTTTGCTGTTATTCAAAGACCTTGGAACCTGCACACTGTAGGCAAACTTTTCAGAGTTGGAGAAATGCCAAAAGCAGCACACTCTCCAGAGGCCACACCCACAGTACCAGAAAGTCTGGCCAAGAATGGAGCCCTTGGACTTCAACCTGTCCACTTGACCCCATGCCAAATACTCCAAGAAAACCAAAAGTCTTCAGTGCCTGTATCTAGAGAACAGGATTGCAGAATGGAGACAAGAACTTGCTTCATCAATTTAGGAAAAAACCTTCTCAACCCAAACAATAAAATGTTAGATAATCTTATCTCTGCTACCTGAGGGCATTTCTACCTTTTAAAGAGGTTGAAACAATTGCCCAGCCAGCATGGCTCAGCGGTTGAACAACCAACAACCTATGATCCAGGAGATCAAGGTCTGATTCCTGGTCAGGACACATGCCCGGGCTGCAGGCTCCATCCTCAGTTGGGGGTGTGCAGGAGGCAGCCGATCAATGACTCTCTCATCATTGATGTTTCTTTCTCTCTTTCCCTCTCCCTTCCTCTCTCTGAAATCAATAAAGGCACATTTTTAAAACCAGAGAGAGAATGAGACAATGAATTATTTTTGAGTAAACAGAATAATAGTCTCCAAATAGGTCCATGCCTTAACCCCTAGAACCTGTCAATAAGTAACCTTACATGGATAAAGGGACTTTGGTGATGTGATTAAATTAAGAACCTGAGAAGGGGAGATTACCCTAGATGATCCAGGTGTTCCAAATCTTATAACACGAGTCCTTAAAAGAAAATTTTAAAAAAACCCTTTCCTGGATGAGTTCAGAATTCGATGTGATTATGGTAGAAAGACACAGAGGGGCAATGCTGTTGCCTTTAAAGATGGAGGAAAACAGACTCTAGAAGCTATAAAAATCAAAGCAATGAATTCTCCCCTAGAGCCTCCAGAAAGGAGCGCAGCTCTGTTGACACTTTGCTTTTAGCCCAGTGAGATCCCTGCAGAACCTCACCTGCAGGACTGTGAGATAATAAATCTGTCTCATTTTATGCCACGGTTGGTGACAGTTTGTTACAGCAGCAATGGGAAATAAGTACATTCTTCATCACTGCCGCTATTCAATATGCATGATGCCTTAGTAGTATTTTGCTTTAAACCCAGTATTTGACTTTCGCTTGCCTAGTGTTTAATTTGCTTCTCTGCATAGACTTAATTGATTTTAGTACTAGAGCAAATAAGCTCAAAACCCCTACGACAGTACAGAACAACACTTTCTTTTCCTTGTCTACTTTAGTTTCCTTCTTTAGTTTGTTAGCACAGAGACCACTTACATAAGGAACCACTGAGCATAACAGAAACCAACAATTTTGCAAGAAGCAAAAATTCTTTTAAGTGAGTAGAGAAAATGCCAAATCACCTCTTTGTACACTAGGACACAGTAGTTCTCAGTGTCTCTAAATACTACAATGACTGGAACATGCCCCTGGCCTTCTGTGAGACAAGGACAGGACAACAGAGAGCACAGTGAAGAACTGTCCCACTCACCGTGCCTGCAGCCCCCACTGAGAAATTCTGCTTGGATTGATTTAAACTATTTAAAAGTATTAATTAGCATGGAAGAAATCAACCCAAATATTAGCCAAAGAATTTCAAATACTTATAAAACGGTCTTTGTTATTAGTAACATTTGGTAGAATGTAGGGATGACTCAATTCTCACCTGTAAGATATTAAGTACTGAACTCCAAAGGAACCTCAGTATGGAGTAGCAAAAGCTATGCGTGGTCTTGAAAGCACACACACAGGCCTTTTGTTTAATAAGCTCTACACCAGAGATTCTCCATCCTGGCTGCACGTTAAAATACCTGTGAAGCCTTTAAAAACTGCAGATGCCCAGACCCCTCCCCCAGGGATTCTGATCCAGCTGGTCTAGGTAGGGTCTGCATGTGAGTGCTTTTAAACCCTTCCTTGGGGATTCTGATGCACAGTCAGGACTGGGAACCACTGCTCAGTACCCATCCATGAGCAGCCTACTGGACATACCTGCCTAGACATGGCCAGTCCACGCAGCTGAATCCTCTCTTCCTGTATTTGTAGCCCAGTTATCAATGACCTATATCATCTCCCAAGAGAAATCTGGCAGTTATTCCAGATGTCTTCCGGTCCTTCACTTCGCCTTTTTAATCAGCAAATCCATCACTTCTCCATATCAGACCCATCATTTTCCAAACCCAAGATCAACTGGTCTCCCTTCCATCAGTCTCTCTCCACGTCTTCATACTTTACTCTGAAGCTTAAGGAATTATCCTTAAAAAGAATTATGTGCCCTTCTCTGTCTTCACACCCAAACTAGAATCCACTCTTGGGCCTGGCACCTAGAGTCATAGCCAAGCTTCATCAGCCTGCTTCTCAGGCCACATGTCTTCATGTGGCTACTTCCCAGCCATGCGGTAGTCACTGCAAATTTCTAAAGGTTCCACCATGCTCTTTGGGGCCTTTGTGCACTTTCATACGATTCCTTACCCCCAGAATAACTTTCTCGAACTTTTCTGACTGTGGCACTCCACGTCGAGCTCAAATAAATGCCCCTTTGCCCATCAAGCCTCTCACCAAACGCCCCATCAAGTTAGTCCCCTGCTCCCTCACCCAGAGCACGCTCCGCTCCGCTCTGAGGCCTCCTTTTGGCAAGGGTCTCTCTCCCATGACACCGAGCAACTCTGGGGCAAGGCCTGTGTGTTTTTCATCTTCATAGTCCCAGCACCTGGCAGTCACTCATTTGGTCATTCATTCAACAGTCGTATTAGATATATGACAGGTGCTGAACACCTTGCTAGAGACTATGGGCAAAATGCGTTCTCGGAGCTTATATTCTTGAAAGGGAGGCAGATAACTGGAAAACGTTTATGATAAAATAAGAAGGTACATGAAAGGGTTGGGAAAAGTGTTCTGTTTTTAAGTTTCCAGTATATTGAGAAGTGAACAAATGTCAAAATAGGTTTTAAAAGTTGTGGCACATTTTAAATGTTTACACTTAACAATTAAAGTTATATGATGAGTGTCATCTTTTCATTTTGTCAGTGTGCCTCCGACAGATAACCTCATTTGGAGAGGTCAGAAGTCCCAATTTGAGGACTTCAGAAATGTGAGGTGGGGAAAATTGGCTCTCTTATCCTAAGAAGGCTCTGACACTAGCAAATAATAGATATTTACTGAAAGGCTAAATGGATGAATGACTAGCTCCAGTAAACTAAGTCAGGTAATAAGTAGGTTTTATTTCTTATCAACATTTTGCTGTAGCCACTAAATAAATATATAAATAGTTAAAGATTCAACAACTGAATTCAAGCCCCTGTCATATAGTCCAATAGCAAGAAAGGACACCTGGATGGGGGTATAAGTAAAACTATACTGGCCAGGAGTTGATAATTGTTAAAATGAAAAGAAAGGGCATATGGATGTTCATTATAGTATTCTCTTGATTTTGGTATACGCTTTCAATTTTTCATAATAAAGTTAAATTTAAAAGGAGAGGGTGACAATCCAAGTCACTGACTAGAGAAAACTGTATATCTTGGCTGGGAAGGGTACATACGTTACCACCTGTCTCTCAGCAATATGGTGACCTTTCAAATCTATGACCAGATTAACATGACTTTATCTGGTTTCAAAAGCCAAGTCAGCTTCTTCAAAAAGCATTAAATTGACCTTTTATTGTAGTTATTGTCGTTGCTGTTGGAAATGCCCTTATGCTGTCTACAACCAATCTGCTAAGCACAGGGTTTACCCCCCTCTGATCTCATCTCGTCCCTCTTTCACAGGGTATGTTCTCAACGGCTGTGACCAACGAGTCAGGTTTAGTGCCACAGGAAGACTTAATGTTAAGGCAGCAACCTCAAAGGCTCTGCAGCTCGGGTTTTAGAAGAAGATGGGGAAATCTGGGTGAGAAATCTGACTTTACTGATCAAGGAGAGCTGTTTGATTTTTCCTTTAAATCCCCAAACCATGTCAATATCGCTACAGACACTGTGGATGTTTGATAAATATCACACAGTAAATGCTTTCATCTATAGCCTCGCTGAAGATATTTATTTTCCTCTTGAAGTTCTGGTTGGATTCGAGACAATCCTAGAGGAAAATATTTCAGAGTCCTTACCTTTTCAGTTCCTGAAGCCTGAGGCTCCCTGGCAGATATGGCTGTCAAGAAAGCAGAGGAAAATGTGTTGTTTAGAAAAAGGAGAAATAACATGATACCTAAGAGCTGAACAAGCAGAGGAACCTTCCTATAAGTGGGATTTGGTGGTGATGGCCAAATGCCTCGAAGAGCGGGAAGGCCTGACAGGTTTATACTTCTGAGCCAAGAAGCAGACACTTTCTTAACTCTTTTATGAAATATATTTGTAAGAATAGGAGTTCCTTTCTTTGTGAACATCTCTAGCCTGCAAGAAAACATGAAAACACAAAGTTGTTTGGGGACCCTAGGGGACGCAGAGTTCTTGGTGACGGAGGCTGTGTGTCAGTGAGATGAATGCAAACAAGCTTTCCTCCTGACCTAACCCGGTGGCTCCCAGCAGGACCAACGTGGCAGAGATGGAGTGCGCTCTTTCTCTAGGTGTTAAGGGCAGAGTTGGAGTTTCATTTGTGTGGATCTAGCACTTTGAAAGGGTGGGTGGACAAGTCAGTGGTTATAAAAGCATCTTTAGCATCCAAAGCTTCTGCAGGCTGTTTATAAGTAGAGACACCTGTACCCCAAGGCACTAATGATCTCTGAGGGTGTTGAACAGACTTGGCCTAACTTTGCCTACTGCCCCCAAATGGTGCACATCTAAGAAAGTTGCTATGTTCAGGAGCTTCTTTACTCCTGAAAAGCTACCCAGCACTCAGCTCAAAGGGAATTGCCTCTGCCCCAGGAAGTGCTTTATAAATTCTTATCTTGTGTCTCAGAACAAAGAGGTACCTCGCATCTAAAGTGCTGACTAAGGATGAAAATCCAATTCACATTGGGCCCTAGCACTAACTGAACACCAGTGTCTCTAGTGACCTCACATTGCTTAAGACTGGCACGTGTGCTACAACCTCAACCCAACCAATTATAGTCCCAGAGGACTTTAAGGGATTATATGTTTTTCAATGAGCCAAAGTTATTAGAAAACTATTATCATGATTAATGACAGCAAAGGGGGAGAGGGGAACATACACACAAAAATAAGCCAAGGGCAAAAACAACCTATTTTCAGAGAATGAACCCTAGAGAGAACAACGATTAGTGGGACGGGCAAAATCAGGCTGCTCCAGGGTGTGCCACACTCTCAGGTGTTACTGGCAATAGCATAAATCAGCACAACCTCTCTGGAAAGCAGTTTGGCACCATTTATCAAGATCCTCCAATATATTCTCAATCATTGTCTCAGTGATGCCGCTCCTTGACTTTATTAAATAAAATCTAAAATGTAGACAAGCCTGGCCGGGCGTGGCTCAGCGGTTGAGCGTCGACCTGGGATCCAGGCGATCGGGGTTCGATTCCCGGTCAGGGCACATGCCCCGGTTGCAAGCTCTATCAATGACTCTCTCATCATTGATGTTTCTTTCCCTCTCTCCCTCTCCTTTCCTCTCTCTGAAATCAGTAAAGATATATTGAAAAAAATAAAAAGTAAAAAAATAAAATGTAGACAAAGAATTATTAAATTCCTAAATAGCCTAAATATCAAGAACAACCTATTAACTAAAACAGAGAAACTCCACATGATGGAACTTTAAAACAATGAATACAAAAAATTTAAACAAGGAAAAACATGCATGATATAAAGTGAAAGGAGGCTATAAAATTTTATATACAGTATAACCTCAACTAGCTTTCTAATATACATATTTACAAATACATGTTTTCTAATGCATTTTCTACATTTTTCATATGTAATGTTCTTTTACTATATCATATATTATATTTTCTAGTAAATATTATACATAATCTTTCTGATATATATTTTTCTAGAAAAAAGATTAGAGGAGGTACATCAAAATATAAACGGTGTATTATCTCTTTTGTGTAGAAAAATGGAAGTAGCAGAAGTCGTTATCTATGCCCCAATATATTTGCTCTCCTCTTTTTCCATGATTATAATTGAATTCTAAGCTAGCATATACCACATACATGTCAAAAACAACGATTTTTCTCAGCCTCCCTCATTGCTAGGTGTGTGGCCATGTTCAAAGGGATGGCTGCAAAAGTGATAAGGGCAACTTCTGGGTCATTCCTTCCCCTTTCAAGTTTCTCCCTTCTTGCTGGTTATAGTGGGGTCTTTATGGCAAGCCATGTTAGACCATAAGGCGAGGGAAACATAGTAGGAATGATGGAAAATGTGACAGAAGAAGCCTGGGTTCCTCAATTTTGTGGAGCAGAGCTATCTTACCAGCCCTGGCCCACCCACCTCTGGATTGTTATGTGAAAGGGAAATAATTCCTAGCATTTGTCAGCCACTATCAAATCAGGTCTCTTACATGCAATTCAACCAACAGCCTAATTTATGGAAAGGGTCAGTCTTATTTTTTCTTTACATTTCCAAATTTTTAATAATCACCATGAATTACTTTGATCATCAGAAGAATATTTTAACTTAAGCTTTGCTTATTAATGTTAAGAAAATTAAGGCAGCACAGAGTAAGTTTGGGCAACCTGTGCCTTCTTCACACACATAAGAAAAAATGCAATCTATACTTATGAGAAGTAGCTATTAGATCATATGCCAGTGCACAGATTACACACAAATACCCTGAGCTTGTATGACCCTTGGTCACACCCCATGGCACTTTATTTGAAATCTTTTGAAAAATAGTTTTAATAAGGGAAAGTTATTTAACTAAAATCTGCTTGAGGAATAATCTAAAAAAGTAAAATTCAAATCAATATATTACAGTAGTTACTCCTTATCTGTGGTTTCACTTTCCATGGTAAGCCATGGTTCAACAATATTAAATGGAAAATTCCAGAAATGAACATCTCATGAGTTTTAAATTCCATGCCATTCTATGTAGCGTGATAACATCTTGCGCCGTCCTGTTACATCCCGCCCAGGGTGGGAACGACCCCTTTCTCCAGCCCATTAGTCACTTAGTAGCCTTCTCGGTTATCACATTGGCTGTCATGGTTTCCCAGTGCTTTCAAGTAACCTTTATTTTTCTTAATAATGGCCCCAAAGTGCAATAGTGATGCTGGCAATTCAGATATGCCAAAAAGAAGTGCTTCGTTTAAGTGAAAAGGTATGTCAATATAGGAAAAAAATTTAATATATATAGGGTTCAGTCCTATTTGTGGTTCAGGCATCCACTGGGGGTCTTAAAATGTATCCTGCACAGATATGGGGGACTACTGGATATATCCACTTAAGAGGCTACACAGACTTATCGAAGTGAACTAAGAGACATTCTTAAAGCAATCTGTATGTGCACTAACTCTTGGCTTTACTTTAAGGGTGCTGTTTGTTCCCCACATAGAATCATAATGAATCACTCTCAGCAATTCTACGGCCCAATAACTCTGTTGACTGTCCATCAACAGAGTTTTTCATTTTTCTTTCCCCTGGAGGGGTGATAGACTTGGCAGAGCTCACATAACCTTCCTGGTCTCCTCTGTAACCTAGGGGCCTGCACTATAAGATGACTGTCCAAGATAAAGGAGACACATCTACTCCACTAAATACAGGAAAGATACCTGGTCTACTTGGGGATCAGATCTGAACCAACCGCCTCACTAAAACCACTCTCTAACCTTATTAGAATAATGCACTGAGGATCCTTTCAACCTGCAATAATGTTATGCCAGGGGCACTTCGTGCCTTTTAGAGGATCATTAAAGCCCTGTGCACCTGCATACAAGACTTCAGCAGGCAGACCTTAGAGATTCACATGTAATTATATATCAGATTAAAAACCCTGGCTTTCCCCCCTCTTCCAAGAGAATGTCAAATGGTCCTTTTCTCACCCATGAATCACAGCACCCAACACTAATATGGCCAACTTATGTCAACAACAAAGGCAGGATGCCAGGGTTGCTTTACTTCCCTCCGACGATGACTGTGCCAATATGCTCTCAAGAACACCCTATATTCTCGCCTGCCATAACTGAAGCCGAGAGTCAGAGCTCTGAATTCTGTTCTCTCCCCCTGTTCCCTTTACAGGAACACAAGCCAGCCAGTGCCACAGGCCTAATTACCATGGCAACAACATGCACTGGGATGATGAGTGTTTGTTTTTTAAAATGACTCACAGATTGTTCCCCCAGAAGCCCCAGACACACAGGTTTCTGGCTGGTTTATAAAATCTATCCAAAGTTTTCTTGCAAATGTCTTACCCCTATTAGCATCATGGGGGTGATTGAAGAGTTTCATCGAATCAAATATGCCCTTCTCCTTAAGGGTGAAAAAAATTCACTCGGTTCCTTAAACACTCCAGGATTAATCAATTTAAAACTCAAGTTAATAATGAGATTAATTTGAGTTTGTACACTGGAGATAATTAATCTGTTCCCAATTTAAATAATTAAGGTCTTTTACAACGTAGTTTTAGAGACCCAAGTGGAATAATCAGAGGAAATAAAATCAGGAGTAAAGAATATCAAATAAAATAGTCTTAAATTGGGGGGTACATGGTCAGTCACATGTAAAGTACTAAAAAAGAATAAATGTCTTAATACCAAGATGTTTTTAAACTAATGTCCAAAATGAAGACATTTATTTTTAAAATGCAGACATGAATGAGTCCAGACATTTGGAAGAATTGTGGACTACTTCCATTTATTTACTCAATACATATTAATTAAGACCTTCTATGCACTAAGCACCATTGTGGATAACTGGAAGATTGCAACAGGGGTTAGGGAAGACTATTTTATTACCAAAGACGAGAGCCATGGCATGGCTCAGTGCAGTATCTCCTCTCAGAAAGGTCCTTTGCTTCACAAGACACCACTCTGAATAAGCTCTAAGTGAGAGAGATCACTGCCTAATGATCCTATCAGGCCTAGAATTCAGAGTCCTGGCTTTGGCATCTTGGTTGACTCCCTCCAAAAAAAAAAAATGCTGGTAATTTTGGTATGTTGATTTCCTCTGTATGAAGTGGAAATAAATCTTATTTTACGAGAAACCTAACTAGACTTTTTCATATAAATCTGTTTAACTTAAAAGTCTAAGTATCCTGATGCT